GAGAAGAGCAGAGGTAGGACGAGGAACAAGAGAGGTATAGAAGAGAGACAGAAAGAGAAGATAGGATCGAAAAGAAGAGAGAAGAAGAGAAAGGATTATGAAGGAGATGAGAGAGAGGAGTAAAAGAAAAAAGCAGGCAGAGATGGAAGAGGTAAAAGGTATGAGAAGAGAGAGAAGAGATGAGGATACGAAGAGAAGAGACGAGAGAAGAGTAAGAGAGAAGCGAAGAAAGGAGAGAGGTAAACAGAGATCAGAGAGAGAGAAGAGAGGTAAGAAGAGGAGAGAGCGAGAGAGTAGAGAGGAGAAGAAGAGAGATGAAGAGAGAAGAGAGAGAGAGAGAGAAAGAGGGAGAGAGAGAGAGGAGAGAGAAGTAGAGGAGAAGAGAGGAAGAGAGAGGAGAGAGAGAGACAAGAGAGGAGAGGTAAAGAATGAGAGAGGGGATGAGAGATGTAGAATAGAAAGATAGGAGCTGACGGTAAGAAGAGAAGGAAGAGAAGAGGGTAAAGGAAAGAGAGGAAGTAAAGAGCGGAAGAAGAAAGAGACGAGAGAGGCAAGAAGGTAAGAGAGAGAGGGAAGAGGTAAGGAAGAGAGAGAGAGAGCGAGGGATAAGTAGAGAGAGAGAGAGAGAAACGAAGAGGTAAGAGAGCAGAGAAGAAGAGAAGAATAGAGGAGTAAGAGAGGAGAGTAGAGAAGGGAGAGGCTATAGAAGAAGAGAGAAAAGAGAAGAAACGATTAAGAGCAGAGAGAGAGAGAGGTAGAGAGAGAGGAAGGGTACAGAAGAAGAAGAGAGAGAGAGGTAAGCGAGAGAGAGAGAGAGGTAAGAGAGAGAGAGGAGAGAGAGGTAAAGAGAGAGGAGGAGAGAGAGGTAAGAGAGAGAGAGAGGAGTAGAGAGAGAGAGAGAGAGAGAGGAGAGAAGAGGAGAGAGAGAGAGAGAGAGAGAGAGAGAGAGAGAGAGAGAGAGAGAGAGAGAGAGAGAGGAGAGAGGAGACGAGAGAGAGAGAGAGAGGAGAAGGAGAGAGAGGGAGAGAGAGAGAGGGAGAGAGAGAAGAGGGAGAAGAGGGAGAGAGAGAGAGAGAGAGAGAGCAGAGAGGAGAAGAGAGAGAGAGAGAGAGAGAGGAGAGAGGAGAGAGAGAGAGAGAGTAGAGAGGTAAGAGAGGTAGGGGTAAAGGGTAAAGAGAGAGAAGAAGAAGAGGAAGAGAGAGAGAGAGAGAGAGAGAAGGGGAGAGAGAGAGAGAGAGAGAGAGAGAGAGCGAAGAGGAGGTAGAGAGGTAAGGGTAAGAGATAGAGGAGAGAGAGAGAGAGAGAGAGAGAGGAGAGAGAGAGAGAGAGAGAGAGAGAGAGGAGAGAGAGAGAGAAGAGAGAGAGAGAGAGAGAGAGAGAAGAAAAGAAAGAGAGAGAGAATAGACACAAGGGCGAGGAAGAGAAAGAGAAAAAAGAGAGAGAAAACAGACAGAAACAGCGAGAAAGAGAAAAAGACACAAACAGTCGAAAGAGAAGAGAGGAGAAAGAAAGAGAGACACAACAGACAAAAGTGAGAAAGAGAAAGAGAAGGAGAAAGAAGAGAGACACAATACGACAACAGTGAGAAAGGAAAAGAAAGGAAGAAAGGGAGACACAACAGCAACAGTGAGAAAGAGAAAGAGAAAAAGAAAGAGAAAGAAAGGGAGACACAAACAGACAAACAGAGAGAAAGAGAAGGAGAAGAAGGAGACACAACAGACAAACAGCGAGAAAGAGAAGGAGAAAGAAGGGAGACAAACAGACAACAGAGAGAGAGAAAGAGAAAGAGAAAGAAAGGGAGACACAAAGAGACAAACAGGAGAGAAGAGAAGGAGAAGAGAGACACAAAAGAGAAAACAGAGAGAAAGAGAAACAGAGAAGGAGAAAGAAAGAGAGACACAAGACAAACAGCGAGAAGAGAAAGAGAGGAGAAAGAAAGAGAGACAAAAGAGACAACAGAGAAAAGAGAAGGAAGAGAAAGAAAGAGAGACACAAACAGACAAACAGAGAGAAGAGACAGAAAAGAGAGACCAACGACAAAAGAAAAAGAAAGAGAAGAAAGAAGAGACACAAAGAGACAAACAGCGAGAAAGAGAAGGAGAAAGAGAAGACCAAACAGACAAACAGTGAGAAGAGAAAGAGAAGGAGAAAGAAAGAGAGACAGAAACAGACAAACAGCAAGTAAGAGAAGGAGAAAGAAAGAGAGGACGCAAACAGACAAACAGCGAAAAAGAGAAAGAGAAAGAAAGAGAGACACAAACAGACAAACAGCGAGAGAGAGAAAGAATAGGAGACACAAACAGACACAGCGGGAAAGAGAAAGAGAAGAGAAAGAAAGGGAGACACAAGCAAACAAACAGCGAGAAAGAGAAAGAGAAAGAGAAAGAAAGAGAGACACAGACAAACGGAGAGAGAGAAACACGAAGCTCGCCAGCCGCGACTCACATTGGGCAGCGCCATGCCCATGAAGATGGAGAAGCCGAGGATGAGCAGGTTCCTGGAGGAGGCGAGGTCGACGTACTGCAGCGTGGAGAGGCCGATGGCGGTCACGACGGAGAACACGAAGATGAGGACGCCCCCGAGGACGGGCTCCGGCAGGGTGGCGAAGACGGCGCCGAACTTCCCGAAGACGCCGAACAGGAGCATCATGAGGCCGCTGCACAGGACCACGCTCCGACTCCCGACCTGGATAAGGAGAGGGAAGAAAGAATAGATAAGATAAAATTAAAAAAAAGTAGAATAAAGAAGGAGGAAGGAAAAAGTTGAGGAAAAATAGTTTTCTCAAGTCTGTTCTTTTAGTTTTTCTTGAATAGATGGATTTTCTTTCTCTCTTAAGCTTTCCTCTAATGATGGCAAACTTTATCATCTCAACATCTCAATAACACGCACACACACATAAAAAACGAAAAAAAAAAAAAAAAATGTAAATTCCCCTTACCTTCGTAATGCCAACCAGAGCAATGTTGCCAGAGTAAGATGCCGTCCCGCTGCTGGTGCCGAAGATGCCCGCCAGCACGCAGCCGATGCCCTCCACGCCGACGCCGCGGTTGAGGGCGTGCGTGGGCGGCGGGGGCACATCTGGTAATGAGGATGTATTAGTCTTCCCTGTAATGCGTTCGCTGTAAAATATCGTGGAAAAGTTCCCGTTTTCTTTCTTTTTTTTAGCTTCCTGAAAACATTTACAAAAGATAAAAAAACTAAGGTTTGATATATATTTTCAACTAAACTAAGGTTTGATATATATCTTTAACTAAACTAAGGTTTTAATATATTCTTAAACTATACTAAGGTTTTGATAAATATTTTAAATCCAATGCAGGTATACGACTTGTCAGACTTTTGTTTTAATATGTCATAATTCTTACTATTCCTTGTCGTTTTACTCTTCTCTTCCTTTTCTTTCTTACTATCATTATCATTTGCACATAGTCAGCACCATCGCTACGATTATGATCATTATCATTACTCGTATTATTGTCATTCTTATCATTATCAACACCAATCACCACCCTCATCATCATATATAATCATTACATTCCTCTTCCTTATCATTACCATAGTTACTGTTGTGATCATTATTATTACTATTATTACCGTCATTCTCACCACTATCAGCATCAGTCACCACTCACCACCACAGGCATCAGGACCATCGCCCTCATCGGCACCCTTTCCTGCACCAGCCTCCATCCCCTGCCCCTCCTGCCCTCCCCCTCCCCCCATGCAGCTGCTGAAGCCCTCAGTCCGATGAGGTCCTTCTACCCACGCCATTGCAGCCAATTCCCTCTCAATTGGCACGGCTGGCACTGTCGGGGCACTCACTCGCAACTCTGGCACAGGCGAAGTAGTCCCCGATGGCTCTCCACGATCGACGAGATGACCCCTGCCATGACCCCACGACCCCGGCCACGCTCACGGTGGGCATCCCCCATTGGCCTTTGGGAGGAGGGGGGGGGGGGGGAAGAAAGAGAAGTTCGTTAGAAGTTGGACGAAGAGGGACTTGAGGCGGGGGTTTGGGTTTGTTGTGCTGATTTTGTGTCATATACGTTTATATATGTATATATAAACGTATGTATATGTAACATATATATAATATATATATATATATATATATAATATATATATATATGCATATATATATATATATATATATATATATATATATATATATATATATATATACATATACTTGTATGTATATTAAAAATAACATGTGTATGTACGTCCGTACGTATGGATGGATGGATGGATGCATCTATATGTATATATGTCATATATATATATATATATATATATATATATATATATATATATATATATATATATATATATATTATGTATGTATGTATATAATGTATATATATACATATAATGTATATTCATTTAATCTATTTATTTATTATATTATTCATATACTCAACTATGTGTGTGTGAATTGGCAGACAAACTAAGTGCAATTACATACAGAGACTAAGATATACAGATAAATATATAGTCAACTGAAATGCCTACAGAAGTAAGCACCTAAATTAAGACCATTTGTAAAATCGCAAAAAAAGTAATCGGCAATGCGTCATTGGGGAGGGGGGGGCCTCCCAGTGCCCCGGTTCGAACCCGAACTCACCGGGATAAGGAACCCTGAACCACGGAGCGTCCTGTATGAGCGAGCCAGCGAAGTCCGTCCTGGCGGTGGAACCTTCCGGAATGGCGTCGTAGGCTGTGAGGATCGCGCACAGACTCCACGAGATGCAGATCGTTATCAGCAGCTGCGGGGAGGGAGGCGGGGGGGGGGATGGTTAGTCTAAATCAATCTTCGTTTTCTGGTAAAGATAATGAGAGTAGTTTATTTATCACTATGGTCATGTGGTGTATGTACTTACGTACGCACGCAGGTATGTATGCAAACACACACACACACACACACACACACACACACACACAGCACACACACACACACACACACCACACACACACACACACACACACACACACACACACAC